TTCTGGAGGCATGAGCTTCAGCCTATTAAAAGATGTTTGTGAGGTCCACCCAGACCTGTGCCAGGCAATATGTGTATTGAAATGTTGCTGCTAAGTTAGGCCTCAGTTCTGCCATGTGCCGAGAAGGGCTGATCCCAGTTGGCATTGATTTTTCCACATAAAATTCCAAAGAAACAAAGCCTTTATTCCTTTTAAAAATTTATGCAGAATTTTTTAACTTTTCATCTGAATGGATTGAAAAATTTCATGAGCATTTGTGCCGAAAGAAAAACCCTTTGTTTTGATTCTATTCAAACCAACCAATAGGTTCCAAATTCCTATTAAAATGAGTGGGACTTAGAACCCTAAATACCTTCAAGAATCTAGGCCTTTGTGTCCACTTTAAGGAAAGTCAACCATTATGTTTTTCTCTATGGGAAGCTTTTAACACTCCCCTCTCTCTCTCTTTCTTTTTGCCCTCTCCTTGGGAGAGAAGCAAAAACCAGAAGTGACTTGGTTTCAATTCAAAGTGACAGCTCTTGTTTTAGTTTGATAGAAAATCCAAACATCTCAAATGATACAACAAATTTGTGGGGATTTTTTATCGTTCAAAAAGCCATTTTTCATCACACAATCTTTGAGGGTGCTCAAACAGCTGTAGTGCTGAGGGAATTCCGGCGGAGCTGTGTCCTCTGCCTTTTCACTGATATGAACAGTTCTTGGTCCAGCCAGGAGTCACTTAGTGGCATCTTGCGGTCTCTCTCCAGTTGGACAGTAGAGGTGTGTCTAGACTACAGGGTTTTTTGACAAAAGTGGACTTTTGTCGACAAAACTATACTCTACACTGCCGCTTTTTTGTCGACGGCTGTAAACCTCATTCTACGAGGAATAACACCTTTTGTCGACAGAAGGCATTATTGCATCTACACTGTCCTTTGCGTCCACACTGTCATGTCGACAAAGTGGCTTGCTTTGTCTAGACTACAGCCAGTTCTGTCAACGCTCTTTGTCGGCAGAAGCTTTGTCGACAGTATCTGTCAACAAAACTTCTGTTGACAAAAGCCTGTAGTCTAGACGTACCCCAGTAGAGGAGGTTAAATCCCCTGGTTTTGCCTTGGAACTGTGAGTGTCCTGGAGTGATGACATTGTTCTTAGAGCCAAGGTGTGGAGAGGGAAAGTCCTCTCTGAGACCATGGCAAGTTCCGTAAAAATAAAGGTTTGGGAATTATTTAAGACTTTCTATTTGACATGGATTTGCAAAACTTGGCAGAGTCCACCTGGCTGAACTGTGACCCCAGCTAGTGGGGGCTGAGCTGAAGCAGAGTAAGCATCAGCCAAAAGCAAGAAGGGTAAGAGGCCTGAGGCACGATTGTGGCTAGCACTGTGACTGCATGCTAAGGGCATGGTCTTACTCAGCTGCTCTGCTCCCTGGGTGCCTTTGAGTCAGATCCGTTTCCTATCCTGAGAAAGTGTTCTCACTCCTACCAGTTTTGCTGGGCCAGGCCAGCTAGGAAAGCACCAGCTTGACTCAGGTCAGAAATGTCTTGAGGGAAGAAGCTCCATAATAGGTTGCCATGGCAATCTTCTCTCCAGACCAGACGGCTCAGCTTTGTAGGGGTGCTGGAACAATTATTACAGCAGGGATATTGAGGAGAGAAACCGTACAGATGGTGGTTATTAGAGGTTGGACCTCTGTGGTCTGGAACTCTACCATGGATGTTGCTGAACCAGTGAGCCCCAACACAGAGGTTGCTGGGGGCTGGGAGCAGAGCCAGCTAGCAGGGCCAGTGGGGCACTGGAGCCCACAGGCTGTGAGGTGGGGAAGCCAGGGGGGAGGCTGCAGAGCCTGCAGCCAGTGCAGAGAAAAGAGGATCTGCCAGAGTCTGTGGGATGGGAGGGGGCAGTGGAACTCATGGGGCTGTGAGTGCCAGCAGCGCTGCCGCAGCTAGAGATGTAAAATTTCAGTTGATTGGCTAATCGAATAGTCGATGCAATTTTGCATCGACTATTCAATTAGTCAATAAGGGCGCCTCCATCTTTGAAGTGTAGCAACAGCCCCAAGGTTGATAAGTGAAAGTACCATGGGGCCACTCAAGCAGCCCCCAAGGACCTCGTGCTCCCCATGGCATTTCACAGTGGCAGCGCCACATGGAGCCCGCAGTCAGCTGACTTTGAAATGCCGTGTGCAGCCCGGGCTGGTCCCAGGCTGCAGGTGGCATTTCAAAGCAGCAGTGCTGTGTGGAGCCCGGGGTCAGCTGGGGACTCCCCCAAGGCTGCTGTTACGCTTCAAAGGCAGAGGCACCCTATCGAATAGTTGATGCAAAATGCATCGACTATTTGATTAATCAATTACCCAATACTTAACATCCTTAATGCAGCCACAGATGGTGCAAACAATGCTCTCTCATTGACAAGGCAAATTGGTGTAAGCTAGAATGGCTGAAAGTATTTTGGATTGATTTGAAGGCAATTTCAAACCTTTCTTTTGTATAACCTGCTGCCTGCATGGAACTGCCATTGTCTGAGCAGCTTTACCTGCCTTGTTACCTGACCTAGGTTGCTACCAGCAACCTGCCACAAGCAAGGCAATCTGCTTTGGGCTTGTCCTCAGGTAGGGAGAGCCAAATCTCCTTCTTTCTGACAATACCAGCCATTCCTTGGGGAAAGGATGCGGTTGCAGGGCCCTCCAGAAAAGCAGGAAACTTTTCCTCCTCAGGAATCCATGGAGAATGTGGGGGCCACATCTGGATCTGATCCAGGCAGATGAGGGTGGTAAGTGATGATTCTCTCCCCAACACACAGGGCTGGAGTGGTTTTTATTGTTATACGACGGGCTTGCAGAGCACAAGGCAGGGTGAATGAAAACATACAGGCCAGTAAACCATGTTATTCATCGACATAGAGAATGCACAAAGAGGGCCTTGTCCGGCCTACGTCGTCTCTCCAGCTCCTCCACAGTGCGAAGGGTAAAATTCAGACCCAAATGTATTGTTCCCTGAATCAAGGCTGCCCTCTGTGTTTTGGTCACTCTAGGGTTGCTAGATGATTTCAACAAAAGTACCAGACACACAATCGACATTACATCTTATTTAGCAAATACTGGACATTTATATTTTCTCATTTATATTTTCTCAATTTGTTTCCCAAACAAAAAGCTCAAATACTGGACTGTCCAGTTCAAAACCGGACACCTGGCAACCCTGGTCATTTCTAGGGTGAACAAAGAGTAATGACTGTTTGTGGGCAGGTTTGGAAGGATGACATTTTTACCAGTCAGTGTTATTAGTTATCAATGACACCCGCAAACATGAAAAAATATCCCAGGTGATAATCAAATTTTGCAGTTGGGCAAAGTAAAAAAAAAAAAATGCTGCTTGAGAACTTATGAGTGAATTTGATTTCAGGATATTTGCTTTGTATGTGCCTGGGAAGTGGAGCCTCTGGGTTTTAACCATTATAAAAGCTCCATCTTTTTGAATCTCAGTTTCTTCAGTAATTATTATCCAGTCCCTTCATTGTCTGATCCCTCACCCCAGAATTTCTCACAAGTGTGAACATTTAAATATCTACAAATAAAAAAGCTGAACACCCATAGTTTTGCACAGCTGTGAAAATGTAAATCTGTAAAAACAGAAAAAATACTTAAATAAACTTTGATGACA